GCCAGTATCAGAGGTCCAGAAGTCCTTTAAAAAAAAAAATTTAAAAACATTTTTCTTTCCTCTATACGGGGTACTCTATCTAGATCTACAGCTGAAAGTTACAGAGATTATTATTTTTGGTTGTTTTTTAATTTTTTTTTTACTGAAGTGTATTGTTTTCTTTTCCAAATACACAACAAATTACTGATCCTGATATGTTTTGTTTTCTATTTTCCTGTACATAAAACATGAAACTTCGCGTTGAAAAAGTAAGTGCAAAACATGTCGCGAATGGTGTTACGGTAACTTGCATAATTTTTGCATAATTTCGCTTTTTTGTGCATAATTTGACCTTCTAAATTTGCATAATTCTACGGGGGCAGATTAAGTCATATGAGAGCTAATAGGGCAATGGTAGTGGATGTTACAAAGGTTAGGTGCACTCCCGTACGCCCTATACGCACAAAAAGACATGACATTAGTAAATACATGTCCCACGTGCTGAAACAACCCGCTCCGTAAAACATTCTCTCTCTCTCTCTCTCTCCCTCTCTCTCAGTGCATTTCATTTGTAACAATGTGTGTTCAGTAACCTCACTGCAGTTGGTACGAATGCAATTCACACTATAATAGATTATCTGTCTGTTCTTGCTTTTTTTTCAAATGTATCGTTTTACTGCGGGTCGATAATTGAAATTCCAATGTCATTGGGTGGCTATGGTCACTTCTCTGTCCCCGTCGTCGTTTTATGAAAGAAAAATTCTGAAATTATGCAAACTGAGCCCGAAAATTTGAAATTATGCGATTCTGTTAATTTTTAACAAAGAATATAAAGGAAAATAATCATAAATTATGCAAAAAATGATCAAATTTTGCTAGAATATGCGGGGTGGTTAAAACCACAGGGACAGCTTGGGATTATTTCAGCCATTTTTAGAACGTTTGTTTTGTGCAGATATTCAGTTACTTAAGTCTACCGATACTTAGGAGATCTACCAATGCAGTTGTCTGGCGAGTTCATAAAGTTCTTTATCACTAACACTTTAATCGGAGATGGACCGCACCAATAATTCTTTCTTCTTATTCCTCGTTCTCGATGTCGCGTACAAACTGTGTAGTTCGCTTCAACTCTGAAAGACTGCCATAGAGTTTTCTCTCAAGGAGAGCCACATTCTGCCACGTATGTGCGCGAAGGGTTGTGTAGCTCGGGCAGTGCTGAAGGATATGGTTGGCATCCTCTTGGTCGTGTCCACATTCACAGATCGCTGTTTCTCCCACTTTTAATTTGGTGTGCATATGGTGTTTGTGTCTGTTGTGGCCACAACGGAGTCTAAAGATTCTGACCTGGTCTGCTCTATTTAGTATGTAGTAGGGGTCACGTCTGTTGTGCTTAGGGTGGGACCTGTACCATCTGTTTCTTAAAGCAGTTTTTATTTGTGTTTTTGACTCTGAGAGATCCATGCCATCTTCAATCTGGGTCACTTTGGCTCCTTCTTCCAACAATAATAGATCTGACAACACATCCAGGATAGTAGTAGTACATGTACATTTGTATTATTTCATGCTGAACTGAAAGTAGGCTGTATCTCTCTAGCTCTTCTTAATTAAGCAATACATGTTGCCTTTTCCCCATATTTTTATCCACCGAGTGGCTTACAATCTAGTTTGGAGCCATTAAGCCTACAGTTTCGCATCAAGTTTCGCACGTGCGTGCATGTGTCCTTTAGAGATGGTGCATTGCTCCCTTGAGGTCTCAATAACCATAGGGGAAAGTTATTCTCCTTTCCTTCGTTTTTTCTCTTTCTACATTGTCACACAGAAATGAGTTCTTAAATGGACATAACAGGTTTGAGTTTGAGCCAAGAAAAGAAAATTTGAAGAAAAAAAAAAAGGTCAACAGCCAGAAAAATGCCCGTTTCTTTGATTTCATTATTTTGATGAGCGCCCGATTTCACCAAGATGCCTCACTCAAATATTGAGTTGTACCCGCATGATAAAATGGGCTCATATTTCTTGGATGTCAAAAAGATCAGTGTGCGTCCGCTGAATTCTGTCTAATGTCCATCTATTTCTAACACAATACGTATCCTTGACAAAGCGTCTCAAAACATGAGCCTTCAAAGTTGACCTTTCCATTAAGTAAATAATTCATTTCAATGCAGTGGTAAAACTCTTTTCAATGAACTAAAAACCACACCTACTATTGGTTCGTATCATATTTCTTTTTATGAACATGTACTATGTTTTGTTACACTCTAATTGTAGTTTTGTAGTGTTCATTAAATCAGTACTTTAACATTTCCACCTCATTTTGTTAAAAACTAAACTGTATATTTGGAAATGTTTTACACACACCGTCAACATAATCAAAATTATTTGAGAGGCATCATGGTGAAAGCAGGTGCTCATTAAAATACATGTAATGAAATCGGCATTTTTATTGAATTTTATTTTTTTGGCTCAACACATTTTATTCCCATTTATTTTAAGAACATGTTTCTGTGTGGATAATAATACTGGAAAATGTTGAATAAGGGCACAAGAAATGTAAATTTTCATTTTCCAAGGACTCTCAAGCTATGGAAGTCATCATATGGATGGAAGTCACCAAACCTATTTGGCCATTTTCTCGCTAATTCTACCTCTGAAGCCAGGAGACCCCCAAGACAGATGGATATTCTTGTCATTGAAAAGCCAAAAAAAAAATTAAAAAATTAGCAAGCTTTAAGATGATACCAATAACTCCACATAACCAAAAATTGATTAGCGCCTGACTCCACCGAGCCGTGACAAATTTAGAGAGTGTAGCCATCTGTTTCATTCCTGCCTGTCAGGCTCAGTCCAGGCAGGTTGGGATACAGTATCCAGGCAGATAGACAGAGATGTTCAATATGAACTGTCTCTCTTGAAAATTGAACTAATGTCTTCTGCATGCCACAGTGAAAATCTTAAACATTACACCACTGATTTGACTGATGCTGGAGTACAGAAAACCAATTAACAGGCAATGAATTTATAATGAATAGAATGAGCAGACCACACCAGCCAAGTGTTTGTATAAAAATCCCAGACAATTTGAACAGATGACTCCCTCCCAAAAAACCAAAAAAAAAAAAAAAAAAATTAAAAATAAAGAAATAAATGCTATAACAAACATGAAAGCTCACGCATACCTTTTCAGCAGAAAAAAAGAGGCTGCAAAAACTGAAATGACCTTTAATTTGGCATTTATTGCACATACGTGGAAAATCTTTACAAGTTTGGTGGAGATTACACATTCCAAGAAATAATCAACATTGTAATCCACATGTCAAACCAGAGGTATAACTGTAGGGCTGCCACAAACTCATTCCCTGACAAAATAGTTGCATTACACATTAAGTAGACAGACAGTCAGAAAAATATGGAGCATACACAACTTTTTCTTCATTCGGCTTTTGAATTTTCAAACTTCACATGACAGACTGACATTCCTGTATGATAACATGAATGAGCTAAAATCAGAGTTGAAGACATGTTATTAAGCACCAAAGAAATTTTCCTAATTTCTGTTTGTTTGAAGATGAGTGAAGAGATACACATAGGCACAATAATAGTCAATTTTAGCGCCGGGAAGAAGTTAGACAGACAGACAGATAGACTGCAGACTGACAGGAAAAAGAAAAGAATAGAAAAAGAGTATGACATACCAGTGGAACCCTCCAACCACCCGCACTCTCTGGTTTGGTTGTTACAGGAGACCACAGACAAAGGCAAGGCTGAGTGGACAGCACTATACATTTAAACCATACACAACATGATCATTCAACATCACTATCAGCAAACTTTGAGATCATTGCTAAAAGTACGGCAAGCAGTCAACTCGTTCTGACTTAAAATAATAATAATAATAATAATGATAGATAGCATCTGTATAGCACAAATTCCTGCTAAACAGTAAGCTGTATGCACTTTACAATCTACAGTGCAGCCAGCCAATAACGACCTTCGATATAACGACATCCTCTATATAGTGACCTGGTGTCCAGGTCTTGATTTGTTCTTTATGTATATTATGTCATAAGTAATTATTCGTTGCCTCTCTATAACGACAACTCTCTATGACCACATTTTTTTTCTGGTCCCAACGATGTTGCTATAGAGGGGCTGCACTGTATATTATTATTATTATTACCCCAGCAGACATGGTAGCAATCTGAAACAATCGCATGTTCATGAAACGCATATAATGTAAGCTGCCATTTTATATGCGCTAAAGCACTAACATACTGACAAGATCTTTTGTTGTCTTTGGCTGGATACCTATTCCCACGTGGGTAAAGAGAGGAAAATTCATGTTAAAAGCTTTTCCCAAGGACGTAACGTCGGGCCTGAGGCTCGAACCCACGAATCTGCAACCTCACAATTTCAATTACGAGTCCCATAGCCTAACCATTAAACCACTGACGCCACAAATTAAATGGAAATGAAAATCAATAATAAAATAGATGAATAACATACACCGTATGACACTCACATTCAAATCCCCCCCCCCCCCCCCCCCCCCCAGCCTGTGCAATGATTCCTGACCCCGATGAGCTGAGGCAACCTTGTCCATTATAATTATGAGAAAGTATTTGATTTCATGTTCTCTAAAAAGACAAAACAAAGAATGGAACAACATACAACAATGTTCAAAAAGTCAAAGCTATGAATGGAACAGTAACAAAGAAAAAAAACGTTTTCAGAGAGTGCAAACTATGTATATGAGCCATTGCCAAAACGTGGGGAAAAACACACACATCTCACATTAGCATTAGTATTTATTCTTCCAAAACTTGCGCCAAATATAGGATGTAGAACCTGCATTAGCAGTTTCAGACCCCTTGTCAGCTTTACAATCTTGAGTTTGTAAATTTTGTGCCAAAAATGTTCGTTTTTTTGTGATTTCTAGGATGTCATTTTGAGCACACCAATCCAAACTTCCAAGAATGTCCCAAATTTAGTATTTTCATGGGTTTTTTAAAACTGTGGGCCTTGATCTTATATTATTTGTCATTGAGAAAGGTTCATTCGCTCAAAAAATTGGTTTATTTGTCTGCAAATAAACGAATAATTCGGATTACTTGTACGTTTTTCATGTCGTCATGGACTAGGTGTTTTAAAAAAACCGCTATTATTCAGTAGAATCACCGTATCTGGTTAAATCTTTTTGATATTCGGCATTTAATCAATACTTCAAAAGATACAACGTGAGAAAGGAACATTGGATGCCTAGATCGACGATTTCGATCGGCAGTTTAACTTCGCCGTGACCGTCACCGGAAGTCCGAATTTTGTCATTCTAATGTTTTGAACGGATCATCCACAGCATCCGGATATAATTGTCTTCTTGCCGCACTTCCACCCTTCCACTTAGCCAGAACGCCAGGGGCAATGGCAGAAAGAGAAAAACGTATGTATTCATCGTCATCATCGTGTTTATCTACGTGACACACAAATAATCTAACATTGATTGTGACAAAGAAGAATGTTTTATGTGTTTTTATTCTATCCTGTTTAATATTTTAGTGAAATTACGTTGTTTACATTGGATTCTTGGAACAAGATTGCGATGTGTGAACAAACTTCGAAAGATGGGTCATTTCTATGGCGTAATTGAATCACGTGGGTTCTAAATGACGACGCTTGGGGTGTCGTCATTCAGACATACAAGACTAACAGACGCACAAGAAATTAAAATGTCCTTAAAGCAAGCATTTTTTACGTCCCTAAGCTCTTCTTTTCTTAGTTTTGCCCATGTTTAAGAGATTGTAAATTTTAGACCACGCCACAACGGATTAAGGTGACTGTAAAGGAAATCATGAAAAGCAAAAAGTGACGTCAATTTTAATGTTATCATTGTGAAGTACAGGTAAGAACAGGGCACATTTTCTGGATTTACAGTAAATGTCACTTGATTTTCCAACCAGTTTGACATCCATTCATTTATTTTGTTATCTCTAGCTTCTGTGTATCTTTGGCTAGATATCTAGGCTTAGAATTAGGCCTAGAATCTAGATCCAGAATCTAGATTCACAAGTGGATTATTGTCAGCCTATTGTTTTAGTATTGAATTTTACAATACTTTCTATGTTTCTCAGAGGTTACCTTTAAGATCTACCTAAAATCTACAGTTCAAAACTTATAAAATCGTATTGTTCCGCACCAGCCAGTGAATGTAGATCTAGATTTCTAAATCTAGATGTTTCTTCAAAGGTTTTTGATATTCCCTTAGTTACCAACACTGATTTGAAGCACATTTTATACATCACTCCAGGTGCCAATGCGGGCAAGAGATTTTCACTGGCCGATATTGTCCCAAGTGCAAGCGATGCCGCTGGGGTGAAGAAGACAAAACGTCAGTACAACCAAGCTTATTTGCTAAAGCTGAAACAAGACCATGAGCGGCAAGTATCATTCCATGAATCTGTATAAATTGCTTGAATTTTGGTAGAGGAAGCTTTTGAACTCCGTTCTAATAGTCTTTGAGTATTGTCGGTAGCACTTTGAGTTTTTAAATTTTCTGTTGAAAAAAATTGATCAGGTTCGAGTGGTGTTCCTGTTTCTCCTTCGCACATGTGTAGTGTATTTTTTGTTTAAATGTTGAAATTATTGAATTACTTTCTGACATAGATGCAATATTATTCTGAGCTGTGTGAGCACAATGTGGACAATTTTCATATGCAGTACAACACAGAAGCTCGAGTTCGTCAGGACCGGCCTCGGTAGTTCGAGGGATATCTTTAAGAAGAAAAAAAAACCCAGGATAGCAGGCACAATTGGACGGGTGCATGATTTTAAGTCTTCTGTGTTTGACCTAGCCGTGTTGTATTTGACTTGATGTAACTATTGTGAACATATTTGGTTTCAACCTGCCCTTGTTTCTTCAGACTGTACCAAAGTGTTCTGGACTACAGGGTAGTCAGAGGGCAGAGAGCCATGACTTCAAAATATTTCAGAAAAGACTCTGTCTTCACCAAAAAATCTTAATTTTGACATTTTCAACAACTACACGGCATTTAAGGAGGATGAAAGAGAGAGGGCCAGGGAAAAAGCAGCTTCAAAAGCAAAGGGAACGACACGAAGATACAGGTATCATTTTAAACTGTAAAAAAATTTTCCTGTGAAGTTTGTTTAACACCCATCGAGTGGTATTCTTGACTATTGTCACATTCATTTGTGGTAGCTATAATGTATGATACAAGTTTCTAGCCTCTGTGGGATGTGTTTTAGGACTGTTTTGTGATGTTACCGTGTGTCAGTTTAGTGACAGAAAAAATAATTTGCCGATGAGGGTCCAAGGAGCAGAAATATTCCACCACTGGAATTGTTAAACAGCGTAGTTGTGGATCCATGGATTTGTTTACACCACTATCGTATATTATTCCTTACCAGAGATTTTACAGCACTCTCCACTCTAAAGGTCATTTCAGCCCCAGGAAATTAGTTAGGACACTGTACATTTGAAAAGAGGTAGATCGGACAGGCCACACAAGAGAGCTGGCCAACTGCTAGATTTGATTTGATCCTAATCTCTTTTGTTAACAAATACATTTGATAAGCTCAAAATTAATATCCCAGAACCTCACTTTTGACATATTAAACATGAAGATTAGAACTTGAGTAAGTGAAAACAAAACTAGGGGTCAGTATGCTGGGTTGTCACATGAATTGTAGTCAGCCAATACAACTTTTGATTGCAGGTTGACTGATGCTCCACCTCCCATGACACAGGTAAATATCTTCTATTTGGGTAATCTCTTTGTTTGTGTGGTGTATTTGGTTGTTTTTGGTTGTGGCAGGGGGTTAGGCCAAGCCTATTGTATTGTTTGGCTGAAAGTGTGAGAGTGAGTAAAGTGTGAGTCTGTGTTCAGTTGTATTGTTTGCAAGTTGATAAAAGTCTGAGTGACTACTGGTGGGAGTTAGAGAGAGAGATAGAGAGAGAGAGAGAGAGATAGAGAGAGAGAGAAAGAGAGAGAGAGAGACAGAGAAAGAGAGAGAGAGAGAGAGAGAGAGAGAGAGAGAGAGAGAGTTGTATCAAGGCAGAGGAGGCCTGCTGACAGTATAGATTGTGAGAAAGGCTAGCTAGAGCCTCAGTTCAGTTGTGCGTGAAGTGTGAGATTCCAATCCAACGCATCGGGGTCAAAGCTGCGGAAGGAATCACAACACAGAGCAGAGGAACAGGTTTGGCTAATTCCTGTTATAGTGGCATGTGACAGAAGGTTAGTACTGTAAAATCTTTGTTTTATGTTCCAAGAAACAACAGTTTGGACCTCTATTTTTGCAGGGAGCGTTTGGCAGCAGCAACGGCGACACAATCTCCAGATTGAGCCACACCAAAACCCAGACGGAAAAAGACGCGGGCACAACAAGCCAAAGAAGACAAAGTTCGGGAGAGGAACAAGAAGTCGGCCAAGAAAATGAGGGAGAATTACTCTAGCCAAAAGTGAACAGCTGTGAACAGGAAACGGAATGACAGATATTATTTTTAAAAACTAGAAGAAAAGAAGAGGGAGGAAGTTAGAGTGCAGAGGGGAATAGAACAAGGGAGCGTTGAGGGGGAGAAGTTACAAGGGAACATTGAGGGGGGAGTTTCGAAAGGGTGAATTAGGCCAGCTGTTCGGAGAGTGAAGGAGAAAATAGGTAAGAAAACAGACAGATTTGTCCATGTTGTCAAGGGGCTCATTACAAGCTCAAACAAAAGTACTCAGGATAAATTGCGGGAGCAAAACATTTGCTTTTCCCCAACTTCAACTGCTGTTAAAAAAGACATTCAAAGCTTGTTTAGCAAACTTGGTAGAAATAGAGATAGACATTCTTTACAGGTGAGGAGAACTCTTTTTAGGGAATTGGGGGGGCACAAAAATCGGCTGGGGGGGTCTAAGATGAAGAGATGTGGGGAGCTGTATATGAAAAGGAAAAGGAATAGGGACACTGTTACTCAGTAGCCTACTTAGACAAGGTGGCAAGTGATGTCCCGGAGAAAAGAGCAGTATTGAAATCAGGTATCACGTAAAATATCCTCTCTTCCTCAATGGTTAGTTTTCACAAGCGTTTTGTAAACGACAGTTTTTACCGGCATCGTCTGGCGCACATTCTTCCTGTTTCGAAAAACAAGTTCCGTCAGTGTATTTGTGAGCTGTGTTATAACCCTAAAGTGAAGGTGAAAGTTCTTAACTCATTTCTCAATGAGAAAAAAGACCTCAAGTCTTTTTAAAATTCTACATTGTGATGTGTGATGTAGTGAATGGCTTTCATAAGATTGCATGTATGAGGCATGAATGTAGTGAGTGTGGTGTGAATGACTTTAAGAATAGAATACTGTTGTCACTGACGCCTGAAGTACTATCTCAGTCGGTCAGTTTTCATTGTTGGGAACAAGTGCGGGAAGGGAACTCATCAAAGATGATGAAAGTCATGAAAAAGTTACCTGTACAGTCTCTTGTAGACTCGTTTTTTATTGAATTACAAAGTCTTGCGCTGCACAAATTCAATGATTCGTGGCAGCGGAATCAGTTTCATATCCTCAGGGACACTTTGCCCTCATCTTCTGCCCTGATGGTTGATGACTTCGCAGAGAATTATACGTGTCGCAACCAGGATGAGGCGCAAAGTGCCTACTGGGGATATACACAGGTGACTGTTCGCCCCACTGTCGTTTATCAAGTTTGCTCTGCCTGTGGCGAGCAGACTGTAAATAATTTAGTCTTCTTGACTAGTGATTTAAAGCATGACACTCATATTGTAAATTGTTTTTACAAGAAGACGATTGCTTTTCTTAAGTCTTGTGGGCCTGTAGACCAGGTGTTTATTTTTTTTCAGATGGCTGTGCTGGACAGTAAAAGTCAAAACTCCCGTTTTTCTACCTCAGTTGTTCTGAGGTGCAAGCAGGGAAGGTTTTTTTTTTAGCCAGGCATGGCAAAAATGCATGTGATGCCCTTGGGGGTACTATAAAAAGTTTATGTACCTCACTTGTGGTGTCAGATTCCAATGTCCTAATTTCAAATGCTCAGGATATGTTCAACATTTGCTCTGAACGCTTTGAGCAAGAGGTCCTTGGTGCCTGTGGTGCCATCCACAAACGAAGGGTTTTCTTTCTTGTTAAGCCTGAAGAAATAGACAGGCCCATGTCTTCAGACTGCCTAAAAACTATTCCTGGGACTCGTTCGGTCCAAGAGGTGAAAGCACTTTCTTTAAATGTCATAGCCACAAGAAAGCTCGCCTGTTTTTGTACCTTTTGTGTGAATGGTGTGGGTGTAGTGTAGAGTGTGAAAGAAGAGAACATGTGGGTGAATGGGAAGTTGTGAAACTTCGAAATTGTAATTTGTCTGAACCTGCTACACTGCCTCAGCCTTCTTCCACACCACTTCAGCCTTCCTCCCCCCAGCCCCATCCTTCCTCCCCCCAGCCCCATCCTTCCTCCACACCGCCCCATCCTTCCTCCCCCCCAGCCCCAGCCATCTTCCAGCTCTCACTATTGAACATTAAGGCCTGGGCCTTTTCACATTGTCATGTGGGAGGGGAAAGATTATGTGGCTCAGGTGGTGGAAGTTGACAGTGACCAGGAGTTGGTTAAAGTTAATTTTATGCAGTGGTCTGTTGGAATGTTGCAGTGGGCAGGAGAGGATTATTCATGGGAACAGGCAGACTCTGTTGGGCCTGAAGTTCAACTGAGTCTGGCTGAGAGGTTCAGCACTTCTCGAGTTCAACGGTACAACTATTCTTATTTCATTTAATTTGGCGATCATTTGCTGTTGTTTACTTTGTGTTGCTGTTCATCATGACTGCTTATTTTTGTGGGGTGTTCATTTTATAATTTGCCGTTTTTATTGTTTTTGTTATCAGAACTATAAGTATCTGGCGATTTTCATCACACATTTCACAAGACACTTACCCCATTAGAGTGGATTTTGTGTCTTTTTCTTCTTTGTGTTCCTCAGGAAGAGTTCTTTATCTCACTTCATACAAACTGGTGTAATAATCCATAATTCACTGTTTTTATCTGGGTTCCCCCCCCCCCCCCAATCTCTTAATGACCCTTATTATGTCAATGTGCTTCACTTTACTTACACAGATAAACAAAGACATGTTTATTTATTTGTTTAACTCAAAAGTACACATTTGTTCTTTGTTGGCACGATAACGCCTTTTTTTCCAATACATCGTGTTATTGTGTCATCATTGTTATGTGCAACTGCAAGTAATGTTTGTCATCATTTTTAATCTCAATAAGTTTCAAACATATATTATATTTCATGTTCATGCATGATTCATTTAGGAGCAAAATACGCCCTTATTGATCTGTGTATAGTCATTGTGCACATTTCTTCTTTGTCAGCATGAGTTTATCTTTTTTCAGTATGTTTTGTCATCATTGTTATGTACGAGTACTGTTTTTCCTCATTAATAACATAATTATGGTTGTCCCCTGTCTTCGATACTACCTGATATTAGTTTCAAAGCAAAAGAAACCTCTCTTATTTTTCAAAAACTCTTTAAGTGCATACTTTGTTCTGTAGGGACGACTTTGTCTTTTCCAGAACATTGTGTCATCATTGTTATGTACAAGTCATGCTTGTAATCATTGGTAATATCAATGAGTTTTGAACAAATCTTTCATAATGTATGATTCATTTAGGGGCAAAATACACCCTTTTATTGATATGTGTATAATAATAATAATAGATAGCATTTGTTTAGCGCATATCCCCGCTCAACAGCTGGCTCTAGGCGCTTTACACTATATTATTACCCCAGCAGACCATAGAACACTCCTAAACATTCTCAGCTTCCCAGGAAGCATACAGTATCTCATAGAGCACATTTGTCCTTTGTGGGCATGATTTTTTAACTTTTTTCCCAGTATGTTTTGTCATCATTGTTATGTACGAGTACTGTTTGTCCTCATTAATAACATAAATGGTTGTCCTCTGTCCTGGATACTACCTGATATTGTTTCAAAGCAACAGAAACCTCTCTTGTATTTTTAAAAACTCTTTAAGTGCATACTTTGTTCTGTAGGCACGACTTTGTCTTTTCCAGTACATTGTGTCATCATTGTTATGTACAAGTCATGTTTGTCATCACTGTTATTTACAAGTCAGCCCCATTGATTTTGTGCTTTTGCCTCATATTATTTAAAAATTGTTTTGCACGTGTGTTGTTCTAGTACTAAGGCTTTGATAAATGTAATTGCACAGCCTTTTACTATTGTTATGTGTTGTCAGTGACAATGTCCAATGTGTATCCTTTCTTGTACATAACAATGATGACATGTTCTGTAAACTACATCATTGTTACAAAGCTTATCATTTATGTCACTATTATGAATTAAGTTCATAATGAATAAAGTCTTTGTTTACTAAACAAATGGAATTTTAAGTCTATAATTTGCCTTGCTGCTTATCTATTTTTGTCATCACTGTTACATACAAGAAATACAGTGGTTGCCAAACCAATAGACCCATATCTCCAAAACCCTACATCTCCTTGCTCTGATACTCTAGGAATATGAGCACTAAATGTCAATCTGTAACTGACAGAAAAGGGAGTCAAATTGGTAACAAAATATTTTTGGCACCACTGAGTCTCAAGAGTCTCACGTTTTGGCAATTGCTCATATATTATATATGAAACATCGTAAAAAAACCAAAAAAAACCTTCCAGAACATCCAAAGCTACATCCCCTGGTCTTCCGCAGCCAGACGCACGATGAACTCCAACAAATACATCTGTAGTCGCACATCATGCCTGTTGTTGGTGACGTAGAACCCTGGCACACCGGCCTTCTCCAGCATGCTCTGCTGATCCATCAGTTTCTGGTCAAGTTCCAGGATTATCTTCACATCTCGACGCTTCATCTCCTCCTCAAACCGACGCTCCTGGGTCTGATTTTAAAAAACAAAGCTTAGTTTTCAGTAGAGGTTTTACGGCACTCACAACTGCATAAGGACCTACGGAGCGCCAGAAGATTAGAGGTGTTAAAAGAGAGTAACAAACAGGGGCGATAAAGACGATAGATGTTTGATAGGAAATAACGAGCAAACCATACCAGAGCACCCGCCAACCACCCACTAAAAAAACAAAACAAAACAATTGGTGTAATAGCTTTCAATAAGTCAAGCATTGTCAAAGCTGATAGAGGGGGGCTCTCGTGGCCTAGAGGTTAAGGTGTCGGCCTCTCATTCAAAGGTCCCGGGTTCGATTCCGGGTAGCGACCAAAAAATTTTCTTCTCTAAAATTGTCTCCTTTCACATCCTTTCCTGATCTCTAACAATGTTCTGTTGTCTGCTTTCATTTCCACTTTCTGCCCCCACCCCCTCACCTCCTTTGCCCCCTCCTCTGGGCTCCTGAATCTTTCTGCAGCCTTTCTACTGCTACTCCTTGGCTCCTCCTAACTGCTGTCTTTCTGCCACACCCCTGATCTTCTGGTAGGAAAGATCTACACCTAGCCTTCTCGGACAAGGGCGAAAAATCTCGGAGGGCCCGTGTGCAAGTTGCGCACGTTAAAGATCCTTTGGTGGTCTAAAATCGATAAGAGTAGGCTTCGGCCGCCACCCGGGCAAAATTCAAAATTTCCTACCAACGAAAAAGTATTAGGTGTGTCCCGCGCGCTCATATGACCTTATGCAGTTGCGAGCGCCGTAAAACCCTATACTACACAAACAAACAAAAGCTGATAGAATCTCAAATTTAACTTACATGTATCTACATGACATTACATGACATGTACTTAACTGACCAATCCTCCTTGAAAAGAAACGACAGAGCAGTGATTTTACCAGTCCAGGATTCAGAAAAGAGAAGCATATCAACACAATAACTGTCATGCAATTCTAGGGAAAAAGCAAGATAGAGAGACTGAAAATAAAAAATAGAAGGGGAAAGAAGAGATGTAGGACCTATGGGTGACACTGCAACTATCCTCCTATTAAAACAAGCATTGTAGGGGAAAGCTAAAACTACTACAAGTAAGACTTCAGACAGCACAAGGACTAAATTCCTACAATGCCTTCTTGCATCATCTACAGTACATATTGCATTCTAAAGCAATAAGAAATGCGTTGAAAGATCTCTCTCTCTTTTTCTTCAACAGCAGCTCCTTATAAATCCAGTTACTCTATAATATGCTGCATATAACCAAAAAAAATCTTTCAGCAGTAAATAGAGAAGCTCAAAAGGCATCCCAAGTCTTCCTCCAACCAACCTTCTTGCCTGAGAAAGATATTCTAACTTAGGATTTTGCTGGAGTTTTTTCTTCTTTGTTTTGTTCTAGTAGAGATACCATCATAATAACAAGGAGGGAAAAAAAAACGCAATAGCTACCTCTCGTTCTCTTTCCACTTGAGACACTAGAAGCGGGAGGTTGTGTGGCTTGTTCTGATTGGCCATCAGTAGTTCCTTGTGCTTCTTCTTCATTTCATGCCGTTGTGCTGTCAATGTAAACAGGCAATACACTTTAAAAATAATTTTAAAATGACATTCTCAATTTTCACCAAAATTTACATTTCATCAAAATGTCCAAAAATTATTTAGAATCTACTACATTCATCCAAAAGATACAATGTAAAATAAAGATAATTTCATAGATAAAAGAAATTTTCAAAAACTTACCTAGGTACAGGAACTAAGACCTAAAATAAATGTTTTCATTAATCTTGACAACTATTCAAAAAATATTTTGCACACAATATAACAGCACAGATGATATCACTGTTTTAACTCTTTCCACACCAAACGGGTTTCCCTGATACACGTAGCGCTAAACAGTATCTAATAAAACTGTGATGGGTGGAAGGTGGTAACGCGAGAGACCAGTTATCTCACATATTTTTATCAGAACCGTAGATGAGATAATAGGCTATACATAGAAAAGTAGACAACAGAATAAATTACAAGTAGATGGTGTCAGAAAAAACAAATATGTAAAACAGTTCGTCTTAAAAAAAAGCCCATCAAATTCTCCATTACAATTGTCACAAATTCAAATCACCCTGCAGGTACGAAGCAAAAACAACACACCTATCATCACGCAGAGTATCACCATCAGGTTACATAAGCCCACTACGCTCGTCCCCCACTCACAGCTTGATGCACACACCACTGGTATTGAGATGTGTCACCCCACATTACCTTTAGTCTGCATAAAGTGTTAGACCTTCCTTCAATCTAGTCTGGATATTGTGAGGTAGGGTATGATTGAAGACAGGCGCAGCGCTGCATTGGCCTGTATGGTGTGTGAATTATGTTTCTGACTAATGTGCATGTATGTGGGTGTGTGTGGTTGTCGGAACATAAAGGTACGCCCTTTGGGGATAAGGAAGCGACAAAGCAAATGGGGCGGGTGCATCAACACACAAGACACACTGCTGGTACCAAGATGCATCATTGCACATTACCTATGGTGTAGTGTGCGTACTGTAAGTTGTAAGGTACTAGAACTTTCTTGGATCAAGTCATATTACTAGTTAGGGTGTGCATTGGGTGGCAGGGTGTAATCGAAGACAGACAGTGTGGGGCTGCATTGGGTCAAATGGTGTGTGAATTCAGCAACACGAAACATATGAAGTACCTACAATGGCACATGGTCCCATTTTAATGTGTGAAGGTCATAGAGGAGGTAACCAGCCACTTATTTTTCTACCAGTGTACTGTCAGTTAGGGGGCTCTCGTGGCCTAGAGGTTAAGGTGTTGGCCTCTCATTCAAAGGGCCTTGGGTTCGAATTCGGGTAGCGACCGAAAAATTTTCTTCTCTAAAAGTGTCTCCTTTCACCTCCTTTCCTGCTCTCTAGCAATGTTCTGTTGTCTGCTTTCATTTCCACTTTCTGCCCCCACCCCCTCACCTCCTTTGCCCCCTCCTCTGGGCTCCTGACTCTTTCTGCAGCCTTTCTAATGCTACTCCTTGGCTCCTCCTTACTGCTGTCTTTTTGTCACACCCCTGATCTTCTGGTAGGAAAGATCTACACCTAGCCTTCTCGGACAAGGGCGAAAAATCTCGGAGGGCCAGTGTGCAAGTTGCGCACGTTAAAGATCCCTTGATGGTCTAAAATCGATAAGAGTAGGCTTCGGCCGCCACCCGGGCAAAATTCAAAATTTCCTACCAACTGAAAATATTAGGTGTGTCCCGCGCGCTCATATGACCTTATGCAGTTGCAAGCGCCGTAAAACACTTTACAAAAACAAAACAAAACTGTCAGTTATTTCTCTTGATTTTCCATATTACATTGGATTTCTTTAATTTTTCGTCATATCCATTTACCCGAATTACGAAAGCATTGAAAAATTTGTCAATCCCAGACATGTTTGAGTTTTATCCGAGACTGACTATACTAAATATGTCATCACCGCTGCAAGAAAATTTAAAAGCATACTCAATTCTCCATTAGCTGACCCTGAAAAACCAGAACAATTGGATTCTACAAGCAATTTTTCGTCATATCCATTTACCCAAATTACGAAAGCATTGAAAAATTTGTCAATCGCAGACATGTTTGAGTTTTATCCGAGACTGACTATCCTAAATATGTCATCACCACTGCAAGAAAATTTAAAAGCATACTCAATTCTCCATTAGCTCGCCCTGAAAAACCAGAACAATTGGTATCTACAAGCATTTTTTCTTGCAACACTGACAATGTGATCAAAGGAGACCATTATTGAATACCACTTTATAAAATTTCTATTTACATTTGTGGTCATTAATCATCTTCAGCCGTTGGGTAAAGAGACTTTTCTCCTCAAGGTGTTGCACTTCTTCCAAACCCTTGACAATCTCAAAGGCAGTTCCATCCAGCAGAGCTTTGGCTAGCGAAGACAGGAGATCATAAGGGAGACGCTGCTGAAATTTCCTGCAATAAAATACAAAATTCCATCATATACACAAAATAAAACATCAGTTCAGAAGTAGCTCAGTAACAAGAAGAGATCTTACTTTAATTCTACATTCAAACATGATTAAACAGAGTAAACTGTGGGCTTCAGTCATTAGTCATCCTCTTACTTTCTGTCTGCCTTGCTTTTTCCAAGCAGTTAATTGAACATTATTGTGTCAATGTCCTTCATGTATAAAAAAGTAAAATCAGGCTCATTAGAAAGAGGGTACAATGGACTTTCCATAAAAAAGATGTCCATGGTACAATCTATGAAACTTTTATCTGAAATCGGTCATTAAAAGAAACATGAGGGCCTAGTGCTATGGGCCTCATAATTTTGAACAATTTACGAAAAGATTTAAGGAGGAGACCATACAATTATATGTGTCACGACTCGATGAAATCAGGCATTTGTCACTTTTTGGGCAAATAAAGTTATTGATACTTACAGTTTGTTCATTTTTCTTGCTTTTAATGAAAAAAATACCCATCAATTTAGAATAGAAGTTCAGGTGTTCGCAATTGAAAGAGATGGGAGTCCCCCGATTTCAGAGGTAAAATTAATGAGAAAATGGCTGTCAAAGTTTGGTGAATTCCATCGCCTGAGAGGCCTTAGAAACTGAAAATTCACATTCAAATGTAGTACCTTTAATCAACGTTTTTCAGTAAAATCCACACAGAAATGTGCTTTTAAATGGAAATAAGGTGTTGAACCCCCCTTAAAAAAAAAAAAATTGCGAAAAATTGCCAACCAGGTGGAAAAATGCCGGTTACTTCAATTTCATTTCATTATTTTAACAAACACCTGACTTCACATAATATATTAATAAATTTGACCAAAGTTAAGTACACTATCATCCACTCACCCATCCCTGCATATTAAATCAAAGACTTTTAATCATAAAAGTTTAAGTAAAAGTATCAAAGAAAGCACAGTCCCGAGTCACACACAGTGAACTTCATCATATGAAATAATAAAGCCTTTAAAAATCATTAGGATGAATATGCCATGAAAAAGATTAAGTCCATGTCGCAGGTTAATGTCATTAATTTACAAAAATGTAACATAGTTAACAGTACAGTCCTGACCAAATCACAAACCTATTCTGCTCAACATACTGTTCATTCACATGGGGGAATAAAAAAACCGAAGTCACTATTTTTCCTAACACTCGGGAAAATAAACTTCACTATTTCTCAGAAAGGTTTCAATTTTCGAGATTTTCTGGTTAATAAGTAAGAGTTCGGCGTCATTTTTCATTCTGCCATTCTGAGGGGACAGGGAAGAAGCATTTCTTGCATCGAATTCAATTTCTAGAGCTAGAGACTTTTAGATGTTTGAATATTCAGATACTTCAATTCTGGTAGTGGTAATGTTCCCAGACTATACTTCATTTGTTAAGCCTTCAAAAGGTACTCTGCAAGAAAACGAGACTGCTCGACTTTGGCAGTAGATATTCAACCTATCTCGCATTTAGTCACCCCTAAAGCAAAAACTAAATCACCCCCCCACACGCCCTCCCCCCTTTTACACCTATACACACACTCTCTCTCTCTCACACACACATGGTATACACACGGAGGCCACTCCATTCGCAAATAACAAAAAAATCTCGAGAACAGAAACCGTTCGGAGAAACAAAGCTCAAGTTTATTTTCCTGAGCGTTTGGAAAAATAGAGCCGGCATTAAAAAAAGACAATTAATTAAGGTAGCGTCAATTGCCACCGAGTGAAGCGGTGTCAAGTCTGAAAACAACACTATCTTTAGCATTATATAGATAATGTGTGTCTAATGGGTCAATTTGTTCTCAAGTAATTTCATTGGACGAACATCTAGTCTAGAGCTACGGTACCAACTTGGCTTGTTTTCAATGAGACGTAGGCCTAGATCTCGGCTAGCCTTAGCCTACACTTTGGTGTAGAACCAACACAGGCAATTCTAGAAGTAGAAGGTCACAAACGCACACAAACTCAAGCAGAAATTCACGTTATATCGGAGAACATAAATCGGGGGGCGGGGGTCAGGAAAAGACACACACACACACACACAAACACACACAGAGGGACAGAGAGGCGAACGCACAACACAGGGCACTCGAGCACAATAAGCTAGATCTACCCACCAAAAGAGCTCCAATTTACTCAGTGGCAATTGACAAAAAGTCAATTTTCATCAATTGCCACTGCGTCACTCAGTGGCAATTGACACTACCATTAATTAATCGCGTTAATTAATTGTGAGTTGCTGTGTATTTTGTGCAGCAATCTCTGGTTTTGGCCCCAAGAAGAGTTCAAATATCAATATAGTAGTGACTTTGGCGATTTTGTAGTTTCGTTCGTAGTTAAAGTCAAGAGAAGACTATGGATACCTTGCGGGCTTTGGTGGTGGGGGGGAACTGAGTACTTATGGACCTGTCCAGTGTGCAATGACGTTGTTGTAGAGGGGGTTTCAGGCCCACCTTACCTAATAAAAATATGGAGGTGGGGGGATTCAGGGGGGGCCCCTGTTATCTAGTTTGATGTTTGGAAGAGGCTAGCCGTACTTAATGACGACTAGACTGGGCCAAACCTAGATCTAAGTACTGCTAGACTGGCAGTCTAGCCGTACTTAAGTACGGCTAGCCACTTCGTTGATGTTTTACTGTTAGGTTGCATCCTTGCTCTTTGTGTCGCCTATTACAAATAGTATTTGGTCATCAAGACTTGTGGATTTCTTCTCTGGATGTAAACAAATGGGTCGTGGACTTTAACGAACGGAACTAGAATCTACAAGATCACCGTGACTTTATAGGGCCTACAGGTTAGGCTAAGTTTATATAATATAGGGTTTGGGCCAGGGTTAGGGGTAAGTTTGCAGGATAATAGATGGCCACCTCTATTCTCACCCGGGGTGAGAATAGTGCAGGCGGGTCTTGTGGCTATTCTCACCCGGTGCGCGTGTCAACAAATTTTGCGTTCACCCTAAACCACAGAATTCTACACTGTGATAAGAGAAAAATTGTAGAATTCTGTGCTGTGAACAAACGTTCCATTACAACTGTACTTGTAGCCTACTAAAAGCGTACAATTTTGTCTGTGGGCAGTGGAGAGAGAGAGAGTGAGAGAGAGAACAAAACAAAATGGCGACCCGTGTAGTTCGGCTCGATTCGAAAAGTTAAATAGCCGTAGCATCTTTGTAGACAACCAAATTAATTTACTTTTGTGTTTTAACATCATTTTTTAACTTTGTTTTGGTCAATTTGATCGTCCACACCGATAGACAGTATTCAGAAAGAGACAGAGAGAGAGAGAAGAGGGGAGGAGTAGATCTTGCGAGAACTTCCGGGCGGGTGAGAATAGCCACTTTCATAATAGATAGATCTAGCTCTAGATCTAGAAAATCTAGATTAGATCTAGATCTAGTAGGTTAGTAAGTGCTAAGTACACATTGAGGCCAAAACAGGATTATAAACACATGTGAGCTTAACTTAACACCCATGTGTACACCCCAACTTGAAACTTACTCACCCTGGCAATTCTCTGGCCATGTTCTGTAGTTCATTCAACAGAACATAATGTCGCTTCTGTAGCTCCTCTTTGCTACTTTGATCCTCATTCATACTGAAGATTTTGTATCATGAATTAATAATTAATTAAATGGAAATGGAATTTAAACTTCATCGATGATGATACACATACAGATATAGATCTAGATCTATTATATATTTGATTCTCTGATAAAATACAATCTTTCCGGGAAAACCTGCAACAGGCAACAGTAACAGTCAGTAACAACAGAGGTGCACACACACTTCTGCCTCGTTTTTATCTTTTTAACAAAATACCCAGGCTAAGCCTTCAGCACAAACATTGCCGACCGATTTAGAGTTGGGTAGGTGTGATGTGTTGCAGTTGAAGTGTGTTTGACTGAGAGAGTGAAACTACAGCACCTACTCCACTTTGCTTTGTTTGTAAAATCGTAAAATTTACTATTCCTAAATTATAACTCCATAGACTAAAGAGCATGTGTGCTTATGAACCTCGTCAGATTTATTTCTCGCGTTATTTGATACACACCCTCGTGTATTATAATAGGCACGCACTGTATAATAACTGAACTGGGCCTATTACTACTATTAAGCTCAGTGCTAAATGGACAAGTACGACACAGTGTGGCTGTACAAGGGTTCATCTTGGGGGAACAGACGCTGTTTGAATTTGAACAGTGGAGAAAATGGCACTCCTTCAGTCATCAACAGAGGTTGAGGAAGATCTTCTGATTTTGAGCGACTCCTTTCCAAACCAACAACAACAACAACAACAACAAACATGTAAGCCTATAATCCTGTAATACCTTTCTGAGGTCAACACTTTCAGCTTACCCTTCCAACCCCTTTGCCTAGAGATAGGGTCACACCAAACATAGATCTAGATCTAGATCTAGATCTACACTGTGGCTGTCATAGCCAACCTCTTTGCTTGAAGTTGAAGCAAACGTATCCTTATCCAGCTAGGGGAGGTGACCATTGATAATTTTGTGTCTTCTTTCGGAAAGATCATTTTAACTTCATTTGTGTCCCCTTAATAATCACCTTTGATTCTCCTCCTCCTCCTCCTCCTCCTCCTCCTCCTCCTCCTCCTCCTCCTCCTCCTCCTTCTTCTTCTTCTTCTTCTTCTTCTTCTTCTTCTTCTTCTTCTTCTTCTTCTTCTTCTTCTTCTTCTTCTTCTTCTTCTTCTTCTTCTTCTTCTTCTTCTTCTTCTTCTTCAGGTGTCAGGTCTGGAGCAGACATTGACGACTATGGTACCCCATTCCTTCTTGTTGCCTGTCTTTTTTATCAGCACGGTTTTTCTCCTTGTGTTAGTCGTCGCAAACAGGCCATTAATCTGTGTATGTTCTTTGTCTTCCTCTTCTCTTCTTTCCATCTATCTTTCCACACAGCCTAACTCTATTCAACTTAATACATTGCAGGCTGCTATATGACATAGTGTGGTGTAGCCGTTATGCGCTTTGCTGTGATTTCGATTCCTGAGTGGGGAAAAGATTTTCATCGGGTACCTCGGTCTTTCTGCTGAAATGGGTCCATCTCAGACATGCAGGGTTGGAAGCTCGCCTCCCAAAAGTTCTAAATAATGTAGTAAAAATACCTACTTTTTTAAAAGAGAAAAAAAAAAAGACATCGTGAGCGTCTAGAGCAAGAGGTAGATCCTACTTCTTTTCCTCTCCTCCGCTGTTCCTGCCGGTTTGTGTGTTGATTGTCCCCAGCACTAAAAGATAATTTTTACGGTCAATATGCCTCTCGCCACCCCCCACCCCCCCAAAAAAAAAGAAAAGAAGAAAAAAAAAGAAATCTTTTATTGGGGAATTTAAAAAAATACGCACACTAACATTAACAAGTGGAAAAGCACCAGGAACCACCAACTGTGGGGGGAGGAAATAATATTAGCAGGCAGCCTACTTTAATGCTCCAGCTTTCATCTCACCTGAAATTTAAGTTTCTCTCTACCATAGAAATGTCGTTATAATTTTCCTCCAGCTCTTGATCTCTAATTTATAGAGATATCTGCGCGTTTGAATAATTCTGAACCTCACGAAACGTTGAATGTCAGATCCGTGGTTTCACACACCGCACGGACCTAAAATTGTTTAGTCACCAACTCTTTCTGGTATCGACTTTGGTTCCTGGCGCTGTCTGTGGCCGCCTCTTAAGTAACCTGACAGTGTTAAACCTATAGCCCACAATTTTGCTCAGTCTAATCTTCTTAGCTTCCTGCTTTTGGTCACGACCTTACTCCCACACGAAACTCAAGGGTGTTAAAAATGTGTCTCCATGACATTCACATTTTCTGTTACGTGGTAGTTTTTCCTTTACTTTCTGTTTACACAGATAAGATGCGTCTTTGTTCTGACCTCAATTTTTAATTCACCGAATTATGTAAGTAGGCGTACATTGGCTCAAACAATTATTTTAAAAAATACAATGGTCTGAATTAGCCTAAAGACAAAACCATACTATTTGCAGACAAACACGCTAATGAGAGGTCGGGGGAGGGGGGGGGGGGGGTTGGTGTTTGGAGTTTTTTTTGTGTGTGTGTTTTGTTTGTGTGTGGGGGGGGGGGGTGGATAAATGTTCCTTATCTATTATTTGAGTATAGGATTTTTTGGCGCCCCCATAAATACACTTTAGATCTTTTAGGAAGCGAGCTTCCGATCTTGCCTGTCTGGACCAACTCGAGCTGAAAGGGATATAATATTTTATAACATTCCAGCAGAGAGACCGAGACATTCGATAAGAAAATCTCCCCACCCAGGAATCGGCCTTGGGTCTCCTGCCTGCGACAACTTCGCGCCTTACCGCTACATCACAGACACCCCTCCTTTTGGGTGCATTCCCTTTGAGTTTGAAGCAAATTACAATTTTATTCTCAAATAATATCATATTATGCGTGACCTTGTCTGAGAACGAAGGACAAAATCCTGGTGGTCAGAAGGGATTGTTATGTTCGGTGCACATTGTCAGTCAAAGAGGTTATCAATCGAATTCTTTTGATGGAGTCGCAACCAGCCAGATTTTTCTTCATGGCTGGGCCCAATGATTATAAATACCCGGTATTTACGGCCTCTGGCAGGGACAAAAGCTACCATTTTGGTACAATACAACAGAATTTAGGCACACGGTCCTTAGTGAATTCTATATTCGTTTTTCAAGGTTGGGAGTCGAATCGGTCCTAGGCCTATTGTGTCAAAATGGTCGTTTTTACCCCTCCATAAAGGAAAAATCTGACCGCAACCGAATCAGATGAATCCGATTGGCAGTGGGCACTGGATATTAGATTAATGATTAGACTCAAAATTAGTGTTAAAGGGCCATGCAATGGTTCCGGCTCCGTAAACGTGACAGACAGAAAAAGATCTTCTTGAGATGTAATTTCTGTACCGATCTAGTTTCTTTTATGTATGCCTTTTTTTACATACCTGTGGTAAACGTATTCTTGCTTTGTTAACTTATAAACCGTTTTGCGTTACACTCTACAGTTAAGGGCAAAATGTTTCAACTTTTCATATGTCAGAGAAAAAAAATGCACACACCCCTTTTTTCACAAGCACATACACACGCTCTCTCTCTCTCTCTCTCTCTCTCTCTCTCTCTCTCTCTCTCTCTCTCTCACACACACACACAAAGGTGGTGGATCGTGCTTTGTGGAACTCACCAAAGTCATCCCTCCCCCTCCCCTTCCCGGCATTTCTGTTACCCTCGCCAAATTACTGCAATATTTAGGTGATTATGCTACCTTTGGCGTTGATCTGTGAAAGGGGAGAACAGCAGAGAACCACCCACAAGAACAACTAAACAATTAATCGTCGTTGTCTGACTCTAACCGTTTGTGCGTGAACAATGATTTTCAGAAAAGTGGACAGGAAAAAAACCATGTAATTTCTTTCTTATTATGTATCTACCAGAATTGTTCACATTTATTTGGGTGCAGAGCGTTCTTTTTACATACCATCTTAGTATCACTTATTGCAATAAAGCTCATAAATAACATAATTCGATAAGAAGAAAAATAAATTTGGCCGAATTTGTCGGATACTCAGTTAGGTTGGAGATACCCACTGATCTAAAAGCTGTTATTCTGCCAGTATGCTGCGCTTTCCATTAACATAGATCTAGACAATGACCTGCCAGTATGATTTGCTTCCCATTAGCCTAGACAAACTTGTAAGGTGCATGACCTTTCTGGTACAGTTTCAAACACAAAGCAAACTAATCAAATCTATACTCTCAATCTGATGCGTTGTGGCTCTCTGACCTTCATGCAGCGCTAGCGACACGACTATTACCATACGACACCGGAAGCGAACATATTTCCCTTCCAGACTCGGTCATGCGCAGACAGCAGTGCTCGCCGACGAGCCGTCTTCCCCATTACTAAGCCCTAGAACGGCAATAAATGAGTCGTTGCCGCCGAGAGACCGAGAGGAACTGAACACGTCTCTATGAGTTGAGGCAAGCAGCATCGATCGTTGCCGAGCCTGTCTGACGGAACTGATGATGATGATGATGATGATGATGATGATGGTGGTGGTGGTGGTGGTGGTGGCGAAGATGTGATTGATAAGACTTTATTACAATTACCATGATTTTTCTTAACTTATTTTCATTATTATAGTAGTAGTAGTAGTAGTAGTAGTAGTAGTAGTAGTAGTAGTAGTAGTAGTAGTAGTAGTAGTAGTAGTAGTAGCAGCAGTAGTAGTTTCCTTATTACCATTTTTATTATTATTATTATTATTATTATTATTATTATTATTATTATTATTATTATTATTATCATCATCATCACTATTACTATTATTATTGTTGTTATTATTATTATTATTATTATTATTATTATTATTATTATTATTATTATTATTAATATATCTCCGTCTGCGTACTGTGGTACTGTGTTCCTCTGAGCCAATGGCTGGTTGTCGATTGTAAAGATGAAGCAGTCTGTCTGCTACATGACCTGAAGTGCATCGATATGAGTGTAAAACATTAATTTGCATTAATGGGTAGTCTCTACCCCGCTCCCCCCCCCCCAATCCCCGCCCCCAGGATGCTTGAGTGAGTGTGGGGGGGGGGGGGGGGGGGCTAGGTAGGCAACACGAGCTAGAAAAAGCACTTTCGAATTAAATAAACAAATACTAACAAATAGATCTAATCATTGTTATTCATATTATATATTCTCTTATTGCTGCATATTGGTGTTGAAACATCGTAGCACCTACTCACTCACGTTCTTATTGTCTGGTACAAATAAGATCACTAACATGGCATCCAAAAAGAGAACACAGGACCCTCATTCCCCCCCCCCCCCCCCGCCCCCACCCCCTCTCCGAGATAAAAATGAAAAAGAAAAAAGAAAAAAAAGAAAGAAAATATACCGTAGGCGGTTTAGGCGGAATTTCTGCTTTTGCTAAGGTGATTTCCATTGCGCCCA